TCTTCTAGTCCAGGGTCCTCAACCTTGGCAACTTTAAGACTTGTGGACTTCAACTCCCAGCTGCTGGCTGAGGAATTCTCAGAGTTGAAATCTACAAGTCTTAAAGTTACCAAGGTTGAGGACCCCTGTTTAACCTAATCCAATCCCTGCTGAAGGAGGAGATCCTATACCATTCCAGACAATCTCTTCTTAAAAGCCTCCAGTGAAAAATACTCAAATCTCAAATGGTGGTCCAGGAAGACTCCAGGATAAATTCTTAGTGACATCCCAGTTCTTAATTATCAGAAAGACTGTCTCTACAATGTTATTGGATCGTGACTTCCTAAGGAGCACCTTCTGCTCACACTATAGTAGGCAAATGGGAGAACAGCAGAAACTGAAACACATGTCTCAAAATAGCTAAGTGCGTAATCTGAATATGTTGTCACAGGACATTAAAAGCCACAGTGGGCGAGAAGAAGAAAATGCACAAGTTTTAAAAATATAATTTTCATTGATATTTTAACAAGATTTTAAAAAATACAAATGTTAGAAAAGAAACTGAAGGAGGAATTGTGAATAAAAAAGAAAAAGATTATAAAGAAGCAGCTTCTGATCTTTTTGACAGCGGTTATAAATGCATTTATATTTTACCTTTTCTTGTTAAGGTTACATCATAATGTAAAGGTTACATCTTTCTTTCCATAAGCTCCCCTTCCTACTTTTCAAACTTATAAATTACAAACTTGTTTCCCTCTTTTTTCAGCAAAGCATCCATGAGGGATTTCTAGTCACTGATAAATGTAGTTGTTGATCTTTGTCTAATTAAAAAAAAAAACTGGTTCTGCCATCTTCAGCAACAATGCCTCCATTGTGGGCACTTCAGAATCTTTCCATGTTTACATATATAACAGTTTGCTCATGTACAGTAGTTCTTGACTTACAATTGGTCCTCGCACTTACACATCACAGGATCCCCATGGTCATGTGATCAAAATTCTGGCACTTGACAACTAGCATGTATTTATGACAATTGCAGAGTCCCAGAGTCCTGTGATCCCCTTCCCAGCTGGCTTCCAACAAGCACAGTCAATTGGGGAAACAAAATTCTTTTAATGACTGCATGATTCCCTTAATAACTGCAGTGATTTGCTTAACAACCATGGCAAAAAAGATACTGTAGTAAAATTGGGTGTGACTCATTTAACAACCACTTTGTTTAGCAACAGAAATTCTGGTCCCAATTGTAATGATAAATCAAGGACTACCTGTATAAAAATAATCAAAATTCACCCACTGTTTATACTATGCAAGAGAATCAAGCGTCTCTGTATTCTAAACTCTGAACTGTCATTCTGTGTTCTGTAGGTCCTGCCATGGGCAGGAGGTTAGACTAGAAGATCTCCAAGGTCCCTTCCAACCGTATCATTCTATGTTCGTCTAGGCCATGATGGATGAGAAACCTGGGGCTAGTATTAACATTTGAAGAGCATCAAGTTGAGGAAGCTGCGCTAGATGTTGTTGCAGCAAGATGGGATGGAATTGGGGGGGGAGGTGTTTACCACAAAACAAGCTAAGTTATGATGACCCTACCCCAGAGGGACATCATTTTGCATTTTGTGATAGGGTGGAACTTGCATAGTGATATCACTATGCAAATGTAGATGCCATGAAAGCACATCTTGTTCATTACTTGCCAACAAAAAACAGCCCAGGTGGCTTGTTTTCTACCAGAAATAGCTAATTTCTGGCTGAGAGCAGACCAGCTATAGCTAGCCTCTTTTTAGTGGTTCCTTTTGTCGCATGGAATAATTAGCCTCCCCCAACATCCCTTATGTATTGATTGTTTTGCTGCCCCCTGCTAGGTTTTTTTTTAATGTTCTAGGAATCTAATTATGTCAAATGGCTTCCCAGGTTGTCGTACAGATGCTTAAAAATATCGACGTTCTATGCAAGCAGCATATCCAAGATGAAGAAATGTAATTGGAAGTTTCAGCACAACATGCCTGCTATGATCTTGCATTAATGACAACTTTGAGAAAATTAACAGCTTTCATAGCAATGTCAAAGTTGTCACCTGGTGGACAGCTAAAAGCTAATCTTAACACTGCACAGAATTCTCCCTAACAAATTTACAAAAAATAAAATCCGTTAGCATACCTGCCTTCATACAGCACGCTACAACTTAAATGGAGAAAATATAACCAGTTGTTATGATTGTATAGCATGACATGTCCAAAGAATTTGTATTTTGCTTTCTGGTCTGATATATAGACTGGAATATTCTGGTCAGTATATGGCCCCCTCAGCCCTAGAATTGCACTGCCAAAATTCAGCAACCAAATGGCTGATTTGGGGGCAAGAAAACTTTTGTCATTTTTAATAAGGGTGGAGATGTAAATGAGAAGAGCTTGGGATGCAAGAAATTTTTTTTTTAAACTTTAAAAAAAAGCTTTAAAATTACGTTACAAATGACATGAAAAAAGATGTTATGCTGAACATGTAAAAGAAACTGGCTGATGTTTTCATAATTAAAAGGAATGTACAAATAACAAACTAAGAGAGTGACGTGGGCAATTTTCCTGTATTGGATTTACAACAGAGGCATGCTAAAACTTTGAAGAATTTGGTGACATGGGACACAGAAAAACCAAAAAAGAAATCAAGTTCTAGGACAGTGATGGTGAACCTTTTAGAGTCCAAGTGCCCAAACTGCAACCCAAAACTCACTTATGTATCATCAGGTGCCGGGTGGGCATGGCCCATTGAGTGGCTATGGCCCATTGGGTGGGCATGGCTGTGGTGGTAACGGCAGACTGGGTGGGACCAAAAAGTTCAATTAATCAATTCCAACTTTGCGAGATCTTTTTTTTCCCCGTGAGAAGTTGAAATTGATTGATTGATTGAACCTTTTTTTTTTTTTTTTTTTTGCACACGGCGGCGGAGGCCTAAAGCAAAAAGGTTTTATAAAACCCAGCTGAAGGCCTAGGACTGGGGCGACGGCGCATGTGCCCACAGAGAGGGCTCTGCGTGCCACCTGTGGCACGCGTACCATAGGTTCGCCACCACGGTTCTAGGACATTATTTGAAGATACTAAAGATTCAAGATTGCTAGAAGTAAAAGGAATAAATATAAAGTTGGTTAATTTGATCAAGGCTAAAATAGAAATATTATTATCTCTGGTAACTTTTAATGGTAACTTTTTGTTGATCAGAACTGAACAGAGAGGCTTTAAGGATTTGTTTATAATTAAGAGAAGAGACATTTATTGTATCTTATTTTAGTTTATATTAGTTTTTTAAATTATAATCTTTAATATAATTACTGTTAAAAAAAGGATTGCCATGATACGCTGACCCACAAACTCCCCTCTTACTGGGTGTTTATGAGAATCTGATCTATGTGTTTCAAGGATTCCATATTTCTAAGCTTCCATTTTCTAATAGAGGATCTTTAAAACAAACTTTCAGGGCTGTAAGGAGTATAGCAGTGATGGCGAACCTTTTAGAGACCGAGTGCCCAAACTGCAACCCAAAACCCACTTATGTATTGTTGGGTGCTGGGTGGGCGTGGCCCATTGGGTGGGCGTGGCTGCAGTGGTAACGGTAGATTGGGTGGGACTAAAAAGTTCAATCAATCAATTCCAACTTTGCGAGATCTTTTTTTTTTCCCATGAGAAGTTGAAATTGATTGATTGATTGAATCTTTTTTTTTGCACAGGTGGCGGAGG